TTTTTGACTCTATGTATGTAGAGTTGATAATTTTGACTAAACCTGATAGGCTAACCCAAATCTGGTTGAAAAAAAGTTAGAAGCAGGTGTGGTTATATGAATTTTTTTAAGAGGACGTGATGCTTTAAGTTCAATGTAAATAAGCTCAGCCAATTCAAATTACCGACTCCAGTCAAATGGGCCTTTAACTCCAACCCCTAAAATGGATCCTTTTTTTCTCTATTTTTTTTAAAGAGTTTTGGTGAATGGGATACTCCAAGTTCAAATAAAGATGTATTTACAAATCATTCCCTAATAAGGTTCTCACATTAGTAATAAGATTTGAATCCACAACGTTGAGAGTTATAGATCTTTTTTATTAATTCAACCAACCTTTGTTATCAAGTTTTTTTTTTCTCTTTAATTTTTAGCATGAAAGGAAGGTTTAGAAATTTGGACAACAACTAAAAAAAAAAAATTCCTTCCACCAATCCAACGAATCAATTATTTTTAAATCATTCATTCAGTAATTGTGAAGTGTTTGATTTAATTAGTTGAGAGTGTTGAATCAATTTGTCCTAATGTTTGACTCATTTATACTCTTATAATAATAATAATAATAATAATAATAATAATAATAATATATAAATGTATGAGAGAAGCTTAATTAAGAAAAATGCTTTAATAAGATAGAGAGAGAAGATTAAAATTATTAATTTATTAAATTTAAATTTGTCATATATATTAGAATAAGAATGATAAGATACTCACGAAATATCATTTTTCTTTCAATTATCATTTTCTTAGGGGGGACCATTTTTCTAGGGTTGATTAGTTCACCTGGAAAGTGGGCCTACGAAATTAATTAGAATTGTTGATAATGGATTTTCCAAATTGATCAGAGAGGGACCCATACAGTGAAATGTGAATGCATCTGCATTATATAAGCAATGAATTTCGATGGTACCTGTATCTGGGTCAAGTTGACGCTTATTTATTTATTTAACAACGACATGTTGCTGGTACAATGCATGGCACAATGTGTGAATGCTGGAACCAGCCAGTTTTACTAAAAGAAAAATTGAATATGTAGAATCAATGGATCTGTTTATATTCTTTCAGTCTGAATTTTGTTTGTTTGTTTTTAAAATTGTTCATGCTTGAATAATTTTTTTGGATGTTCTTATAATATTTTATAACAATTAGGCAAGCCGCTCCAATGTTGCACATAATTTGTAAAACAATTACTCCTTCTCATCCTATTTTTTTAATTAAGGTAAAGAGAGAAGAATTTTAGTTCTCTTTATAATTGGTGTCATTAAATTTTTATCACCAATTCCCTTTTTACTTTATTAAATGTTAGTGAAAAAAATACTTCTTTCATCTCATTTTATAAGACATTTTTAAAATAATTTCGTGTCTTAAAATATAAGGTATTTTGAAAAAAATATTTTATTAATGATAATTATTCAAATATGACCTGTCATCATTTCATTCCTTACATAAATTTTCTTCCTCCTCTCTGTTATTAATTAAGGTTATTTTTTTAAATTTATAGAAAAATGAAGATTGTAAAATGTATTTAATAAACTTAATTAATATATGTATTTATGTAAAAAAAATGCATTACATATATATTAACAAATGTATGTTTAACATGGAAAAAATTGAAAAATTATTAAATTTTTTAACAAAATTTTTAAGATTTTTTATGATTTCTATTAAGCATGTTAAAAATGACTTATAAATAATATTATAGTGAGAATATTACATATGATGTACAGATAATATGACTTATTTCATTCATATCAATTTATAAGACACTTTTGAATGAAATTACATTTATTAATAAAACTCATTAAATATACTTTATGACCTTATTTTTTTAAAAAAAAGCAAAAATATAAACTTTCCCAAGTATCATTCAATTAAGGGTAAATGAACAAATTGCCCCTACATTATAGGTCCAAAACTATCTAGGATCTTAAATTTATTTTTGATGTAATGTTCTTCTTCAACTTTTAAAAATATTACAATCTAACTCCTGCCATTTATAGAACTTCACTTTAATCGTTAGTTAATTAGAAATTGATAGAAAAAACCTTAAAAGAAACCAAAAAAAACCAAAAAATTTACATTAAAGGACTTAAAAAAATTACAAACAAAGACTTAAAAAATTATAGAAAAATACCAAGAAAATTTTATCGGTCTCTCTCTCTCTCTCTCTCTCTCTCTCTGTTTTATTGTCATTTTCTAGTCAAATTATAGTCAAAATTAACTTTTGTTAATGGTAGAGGTTAGATTGTACTGGTTTCAAAAGTTAAAGCCTAAAGGGAAACATTATATCGAAAACAAGTTTAGGGTTCCAAATGGTCTTGGACATATAATTTTTGGGCCAATTTTTCATTTAACCTTTTATTTAATGCTTCATTTGTGAAAAAACATTAAAAGAGAAAAAATATAATGTGATGAGTAATATAATGAAACAATATCATTAATAAAATATTATTTTTTTAAAATATTTTATATTTTGAGATGATACCTATTTTCTTCTATCTTATAATTTGGGATGAAGTTAATATTAATATTATACACACACTATTTATATTGATACTATCAATTGGTATTGATGATATTAATGATGTGTCGCTGATTGCTGATAATATTGACATTATAACCGATAGTGGTGGGATCAAGTTAAAAGAATTTGACTTTCTTGGATAAAATATATGGTTCAAACATTGTGAATGAACCTAATGCCATATAGACGTGTCAAACAATGCATTTATAAGTGTTGTATTGTTAAATGTGAAAGGCAAAAATGATTGCTGATCGTCTAAGATTTTTTGTTATAAGGATCGTCTAAGACTTTAACCCTACAAGTGGATGTTATCACTTGAGTATTTATATAGGTTGATAAAAAAATTTTGATAAAAAAATAATTAAGTATTTTGTATTTTAAGTCAATAAGAAATACTCTTTGATTTTTTTAATTTTCTTTAAATTAAACTCTTATTCATTGGCCGGATACATTTTATTAAAATTTTTCTTTATATTTTATTTTACAATATTGAATTGAATTTTATTTGTTTTAATAATTATGGAAGATTAAATGAAACTTCCGTTCTTTTAGAGCAATTTATTGGATATGCGTCGCCATTCGCCACATTAATATGCATTTTCCTTTGGAGTGTTTTGTCCAAATCATTAAATTGATTATTAATTAATTAGGTAAAAGGTCGTTAATTAATTAATGTGTGATTCATCATTCATTGCACTTAATACGCAAACTTTTTGATAATAATTAAGGAAGGCAACTAATTACTTATTTATGACATGAATAATTCTAATTCTAATTACGTGTAAAATGTGTACTCTTTTCATTTCTATTTGTTGGAGAAAAAAATTATATCATATAGTTTAAGAAAATCTATTAATTATATTAATTGTGTCTGAAAATAAAATAATTGAATTACAATATCTTTTATTAATTGTATTAATTAAGTCTTTATTAATTATTTCTTATGACTATGAATGATAAAATTATAAAGGATCATTTAGAAAGTTTACAATAAATGTCTATTGAAAAATGTGATTTTTCTTTATATAAAAAAAAACTAAAAGTGATAATTTTTCTTATATATAGAAATAGAGAAAGTATTTGATTCAACACACACATCTAAAAGATACTTAGATTTTTAGTTTTTCTTATATATAGAAATAGAGAAAGTATTTGATTCAATACACACATCTAAAAGGTACTTAGATTTTCATTTTCACTCATAATAAAATCCACAAAATTTTAAAAACAAACGTTTTTATTTCCTTGTTGAAAATTGAGAAGGGTATACTCCCTCCAATTTTTTATTATTAGAAAAATTATCACTTTTAACTTATATTTTTTTATAAACAAAATCACTCATTCCAATAAGTATTTATTACACATTTATATAATCACCTTTCATAATTTACATTAATAAAAAAATAATTAATGTATGATTATGTTAATTAATACAAAGCATTTTAGTCCACTTTTTTTATATTCAGACATAATTATTATAGTTAATTAGCTTTTAAAAATTTTATGATATATTTTTTTCTCTTATATACAAAAATGGAGGGAGTATTTGGAATAAAACAAGTAATGCCACACCAACTCTTGCAAATTGAAGCCATCCGTGAATATCCCTCATGCATGAATTTACCATTGGAATGACTTCAAATATATTGTAAATTTGTATTGATTATTGAGCCCATAATATATTAATCATAATGATCTCGAGTGAATTGTAACATGGGAATCACACAACTAAGCCCATTAAGCAAAGGCCTATCCTACAACTCCTACAACTCTTTTGCTATTAGCTATTTTTTCAATTGTTTAACTCATTGAGTGAAAAAAAAAAGAAAGAACTTATTGAGTCAAAAAACTTTGAGAGTTAAAGATAATTAATTAATCATTTTCAATGGTTGTTTAAAGGCCTGGTGTATATTATTCATGCGGGTAAATTATATAATGTTATTACTATTCAGTTTGGATCATGATTTAGAGTCCATTTGGTTTCTATCATCATTTTGTTTTAAAAAAACTGCTTCATAATTCAAACTTTTTAACTAGTTTTCAAATAAAACAAAAAGAAAATCTATTTAATTATATTAATTTAAAAACAATTTTAGAATTTAAAAATAAACAAATAATAGTTACAAGTGGTTAATGATGATAATTTATAATAACAATTGGTTAAATTAACTATATTTTTTAATAATTAAATGTAATTTTCTTTGAAAATAAGAAAAATATAATTTTTAATTTTTAAAAAACAAGAAATCAAAAAGTTTTAAAAACAATTAAATTCAAAACACTTATCATAACAAATTTTTATTTTTTTTTGTTTTTAAAAACAGAAAAAAAATTTTTTAAAACAAAAACTAAACATGCCTTTAATTTTCCAAAACAGTCATAGCCCAAATGGACATAACAGGTTCAAGCATTTCAGACCAAACGTTGCACAGAAAAAGCCTAAAAGAAGGTTGCATCAAATAGAAAAATCCTATGATGTACCAAGTTTAAAATTTTCCAAATAGTACTGGAAAACGCATACAAAAGAGTCCACACAAGTTTTGCTGCACCTGCAAGCTAACCTTCTAACAAGTAACAAGACTATGAATGGTGGTAGATCAGATAGAGGTAAAAACAAAACAAAACAAAACAAAACAAACAATACAAAGAAAGGAGGGAGGCAAAAGGCCTTGATCAAGAGTTGTGATTTATCCATTAAGTTCTCCTATGAAGTCACTACTTCTGACATGATGATCTTTTTTGATTCCAAGTCGCTAGCTACGCTCACTTCTTAGACAGAATAGAGGCCAGGCCCACTCTCCATCCGTACAGCATAGAGAGGCTGTGCCTTTGTGGAAGAAGAGATGCCAGACCTGTACGTGAGCCGTTGGTAAAGCTAATCTGCTTGTTGCTTGGCTCCAAGGACCTGAATTTATATTATTAGCAAGCATATTAATTAAATGAAATCAACAAACACTAGGCGATGTTCGGCATAAGTGAAAGATTTAAATCACAAGAACTAAGAGCTTTGGCTACGGGTAAAAATTATCAAGAAAAAGATGACAATGCAGGATTGTAGGATATATTATCGGAAGGATCGATTTGAGGTCCCTCACAACACATTTAAATATCACAAGGTCTATCAACAATTTGACAAAGAAAATTAACAACAACACATTTAAACATCACAAGGTTTATCGGTAACTTAGCAAAGAAAATCGACAACATGTTATGATCATATTCAGATTTGATAAAAGAAAGAACACAGAATAAAACTCAGGAAGAGGGAAGGAGAATAGTCTCAGTTAAGGAAGAAATACATCAGAGAGGGAGGCGCTCAACAAAATCAGCCACACTTGCCTGGACTATCTTTTATATCTAATCCCCACCCATAATCTAGATCCAGCGCAGTCCCTATATGCAATCTCATATTATAATAGGGCCCAGCCCATTCATTACAATGCCTTCCCCTTAAAATTGACCTTGTCCTCAAGGTCAAAAGTAATAAAAGTATCATGATGAACGTCCAAAGCTCGCCTATGGGTGGTTCCAACCCATTCCAGCATTACAATGTGTACTGGACCCAAGAAACTTGCTGGGGAGCGCATGAAGTAATGCTGCCTTCGAGAAGTCCAGATGTCAAAAGATTACCCAAATATAAAACTTGTGGAATCTGACTTTGATGGTGGGCAGCAACTACCATAACTCCCTGAGTAACAAATAGGACTGCCCTGAAAATAATGCACAAAATTAAGGTAACCCATAACAGTTAGCAAATTGAGCCGCAAGACCTTGCTATTCCTTATACTATACCTCAGAGAGTATATTAGAAAGTGAGCTATTTGATGGGTAACCATGTTGGGATCATCTGATCCATCCCACAACCCATTAATTTTCAGCATTACCATAACACAAAATTCTTCAAAAGCCATGGGGCAAGGCTGCAGGGAATTGAATGAAGCATCCCCTTCACAAATAAACGTAAATGTGATCCTTGTAGCTTCATTTGCAGCAGATGGAGTAACTAATAAATATCCATTTAAGCTCCATTCTCTTTGAATCTTTCCAAGGTCAAACACCAAAATATAATATGGTAACATATTTTGATTATGCTGACATGAGACAAAGATTGTAGTACAATTTAACAAACACCCCGTTGACTTTCAAAGAGAAAGTAGCAATTTCCAAGCTTGCAAGAAATAATCTGATAGAACAGATTAAATTTGGCAGCAATCTCATGTAATAAAAATCTAGTTACTGCTGCAATGTTAAAAGCTATATGCTCATCCTTCTCAAAAAGTTGATATGCCCAGCCCTTATGGTCATAAAAATCCATCAAGCTGAATTTTCTAAGAGGAAATAAATTGAACAAAGCACTAAAAACTCTTCCGTGGTGCAAGCTTGGGCCTTCCTTGACAGTAATTAAAATAGGTCGTGAGCAACACAAGTCAACACCAATATGCAGACACCAATCTTCTCTGTCATTTACCAAGTCAAAGACCATGTTTAAGAATTGAGCCAAGGGTGAAAAACCAACAGTTGTAGTGGTACCATAACAATTAATTGCAATTCTTGCAAGAACAGCAAAGGGGCAATACATGACAGGCTCAAAGAGAATGTGATATGAAAATATTAGGAATTAGTTAGGGCAGGGGTATAAATGTTATTTTTTTGGGTCGGTACTGTTACTAATATTTAGTCTAATGGTCCAGCCCTATAAATACCCAAGTCCAGATACACAGTGTTGTTGTTGAAACTCATTTTTATAAACGTACTATTCAGAACGTCTCGTCCACTCGTCTCTCTATTCTCTCCTCCTCGTCTACCTATCTTTCTTCTTCTTCTCTCTTCATCTCTTTCTATCATAACAGAATGATAACAGAGTACATCCGTGAGTAAAATGCCATAACAGAGGACTTTAACTTGCAATCTCCAGTGCAAAGAAAGGAAGTAAAGAATCTATTAAAATCCCAATCAATGACCTCAGATATTTCCCAAATCAAAATGGAATTAAGCATAGGAAGTGATATACCGGGATCAAAAATCAATCAATGAGGCCAGGCATAACATTCTTGGACTTGTACCCACATATGAGGAAGGAAAAATTCCTGAAATATGTTGATACCGAGCCAACAAGATCCAACTAAAGGAAGACCAACATCTACAAAATCAGTGGTAGAATAGAGAAACGAAGGCAGTGATGGAACAAGAACCTTGTTCTCTGTGAAGTGAATTCTTGCCGTTATGTGATCAGGGACGTCGTGGATTAAACCTTCGTTAGATTTGAAATCATCACTTTGGTGTTCAATAGACTTCAACAATAGAACACCAGTAGTTGGAGATGAATCGTCTACTTTAGAATATAGGTATTCAATAGAGGTTGGAGTGTCCCCTACCTCGTCCACAGAGGGTAACCTTTTGCACATGGTGTCTTGTGTGAGTGGTTGGTGTAATTGTACAGCAACAGTAGGTTGAGTTTCATCTATTGAGGAAATCATTGAGGCCTTAGAGGTCGGCGCTAGCAGTAATGGAGGAAGTATTAATGTCTCTATCACAGGAGCGAAGTCTGATTTTGGAGGTGGAGTAAAGGTCAACATCTCAGTAGTCACAAATGCAGCAGACGAATTTCGGTTTGACAACGCTGAATCATACTTACTAATTTCTCGTTGTAGATCCATCCTTGCCTTGGCCCACTCAGTGTCATGGATTTGAAAATGCGTCTGAAAATTATCCACCAAAGAATCCATAGCCTTAAGAGCTCGAAGAAGAGTAGACTCCAATCGATCCCAACTGTCATCCATTGTATTGTGTTGCATAGATATAGGAGGCGGAGCTCCACTCTCAACTAGAGCACCATTTGTTATGATCCATATTTAGATATAAAAGAAAGAACACAGAATTAAACTCAGAGGAAGAGGGAAGTAGAATAGTCTCAGGTAAGGAAGAAATACATCAGAGAGGGAGACGCCCAACAAAATCATCCACACTTGCATGGACCTTAGTGTTTATCTTTTATATCAAATCCCTACCCATAATCTAGATCCGGCCCAATCCCCATAAGCAATCTCATATTATAATAGAGCCCAGCGCATTCATTACACAACACAGCACATTTAAAAACCATAAGCTCCATCGACAACTTAGCAAAGGAAATTGATTTTGTTGATGGACCTTGTGGTGTTTAAAAGTATTGTGTAGAACTTGTGTGCAATTCTCCCTATATTATAAGTAAACGGAATAGTGACAAGCCCATGAAAAACTTGTCTTAATCCATGCTACTATCATCCCTATATGAACATTAAAAATATATAAGAATAAGTAAGACTTGTGTGTGGCGTCAGGTATACATCATAAATAGTAAGAGTATGCAGAAAAGACCAACTCTGAGTTTTGGTCAAGTTAAACCGACTTCTCTAAGGAGCCGTTTAGTTCACAGAATATAAATTGAAAGAAAGAAAGAAACACAAAGGCATAATGGAAAGTGACGTTTTTGTAAAAGATAAAAAACATGAATCCCCAAAATACCATTCCTCGAGGAAATAATAAATTATGATTTTTAAAATTTTCAATTATAAAATTCATCAAAATAATTATTTTTAATTATCATTATTAATAAAACATCATAAAAAAGTAATAGGTAATTGTAATTATGACAATAAAAAATAATTTTTAATTTTTATTATTGAAAATTTCACACTTGTTATTTCAAATATTTAAATGATTAATTATTTGAGAATGAATTGAAAAGAAATACTTAACAATAACAAGGTCTTCATCCTTTAAAAATTACTTTTAAATAAAATAAAATAAATGTAAACAGTCAACATGCAAGATTGCTCTTTCTGAAATGGATGTATCAGAACCTGATTTAAAGATAAAACTTTCTATATCTAAATAATAAAATAAACCTCAGTACATTTTGAGGAATACCATTATATGGCCTTACCTCTATTAGACTTTCAGAGATCCTTTTCATAGTAGAACTTGTGACTCGAGTTATTGGCACAAATGAGGATGTTGAACTTTAACGAGATTGCTTAATTAACTATCAATGTGATGTTCATTCCTTTAGCAAAAATGCAGTCAACTATTTAGTCCAGTGCCTTCAACAGAAAGAGAGGTAGAAAATATCAGTTGCATTACTAAAGAAGAAAAGAGGACGATGAGGATAACAATGAGACTAGTCAAAGTACAGAAGTATTAGCTTGCTGCTTGATCAGTCACATTTTCATTTTCACCATCCTCCTTAATATTGCAACCAGCATTCTCTACCTTGATTTTTGTCCAAAGGCATCACACTACACATCTAACTGCATTTTCATCAAAGGAATAAACTTCACATTGGCAATACCATCAGCGATCTTCCTGATGTTCAACATTGCCATTCATGCCAACACGAATTACATGATTGTAATCTATTACGAGAAGATAAGTCCATGGAAGTCTCGATAGATGAGGCTGTGCTATAATACTACAAGAAGTATTGAGAATTCTATTTTACTTTTCTTTCGATACAACACCTGATATAAAATAAAACACTCAATATAGTAATAATTATAACAAAACAGAATTCTCCAGACATCATGAGCACTATCACGTAGCCTCGCCTCTATCAGACTTCCACAGACCTATCGTCAAAAAATGTTGATCTTGCTAGAATGGACTCCTGGAAGTGATGCATGTATCTTTTACATATTTTTCCCTAAACCATCTGTCCTATCTGCAGCCTACTACCAAGAAACATCTTGCCTTTCCTTTCCTAAAGCTTATAGAGTGTAAAAAGCATGAAATAGAATGTTTTGTCCTAATACCATATTCCATTCAAATATTCCCAACTTAAATGGAGGCTCATGAAAATAGGATCAGGAACCTCTTGAAAATGAGAAGATCAAGGTCAATTTCTGCTGATATCTGCTATCCAACCAACTCAACTCAAACACAGATCTATTATCAACATCCTCCCACATCATTACTTAATAGTGAAATATTACCCAATTAAGTTCCCGTTTCACTGTGTTCCGTTCTTGTTCCTCTTTTGCAATGGGCAATGGCTATGCGAGAGCATGCAAGCCCCAAACATTAAAAAGCCCCAATAACAGAAAAATGCAAGAATCAGCTTTGGTTCAATCTTGGGGTAAGCATTTGGGCAATCTTTCCCAAAAATGCCTTGCTTTTGATATTGATTTAAAACATGGATGCAGAGTTTCATTCAATACAAAAACAAATCTCTGTAATTTTGAATAATTGCTATGTGTAACATCCCTATCAATTTCACCATCATTTTGAATAATTGCTTCCAAATATTTAAACTTTTCCATTTGTGGCACAATTTTATCTCCCAATCTCACTTCCAAATTACTATTAACTGACCTCTTAACAAAATTGCAACAACTGGAGATGGCCTACCTATTGCAACAAGTTTGGATATTTCTTCAGCCACAAAAATCAATACAACCAAAAGCTTTAAAGCTCGTTTTCTGTTGTAGGTTATTCAAGGTGTGACATACTCTATAAAAACGATACAAGTGAGCCCAACAACAATTAAAATTATCCATTTCATATTATATGGTGATAATACATTCATTTGCTTTGCCAACTATTCATTTCTTTTTCCACCCTCAAAGAAGATGAAAATCTTTAAAGAGATGGCATTGATTGATGCATGATGATGATATGAAGACTGATAGGAATAAAAAATAGTGATAGTGTTATTCTAGTTATTGATAAAAGAAAGATGAATTTGAAAATGGAGAATTTGGTTTGAGGAACAAGTCTTGAACACCAAAATGGATATATAGAGAAACAGAGGTGAACGGTTGTGGTTTGATGTCATGAACCCCAAAATGTGTATCTACAGGAAAATTGGGACAGTGGTGATAGCTTGTTGCTTGATCAAAGCAAAAGTTCAGGGAAGATTGCCTAAGGGTCCATAGGAAAACTAAACAAAGGCTTATTCTTGAACTTTTTGCATATTGGCCCAGCCAACGCTTGGGGCTTCTATGCTCTCCCATAGCTTTTAAGAAGGAAAAAGATGTAAGGGAGAGTATATACAAATCTATTGGGTTAAATCATAATTTGAATTGATCCTCTCAATTTCTAAGGATCTTGATCCATCAAAGAAGATGTCCATTCCAATATCTAGTGAAACAAGCAAAATTGAATGTGAAACATGATGAACAACTGATCAAATAAAATCCATACAAGTGTGCATGCCTGTCTGCCACAGAAAGAAAGGATTTAAACATGTGCATGTCTACCACAGAAAGAAAGCACTGCAGGAATTTGAAGGGAAAAAAAAAAAAACAAAAATATGATGTTCTATAAACCAAAGCCAATGGTTTTGATGAGATCACTTTTGGAATACGCCCACCAAGAAGGAACCTAACATCTACCAAAATCACATGTAATCACCACTGATAAAATAACAACACATACAAAACTTTTTTTCTTCTTTGTTTATAAAAATAACAACAACAACAACGACAACAACACATACACTGTATGAGATGACCCTGCTAGTGCTACTGTTGACATGCCTTGTCTTTGCTTGTGCTTAGGGTTGGCCGTGCACAACACATATACACGTCCTCGACGTTTAACTGTCCGACAGAACTCACACATCTTCTTCACAGATGACCTTACCTTCATGATTACTGAAACGCCAATAACCTGTCATATTACTCTCTAGTAAGCATAATTAACCAAATAACCATAGCAAGATACACAAATAGGGATGAGTTCTAAGTGGCGCTCAATGCTACTATATTTCCAGAATGCACATACTGTATCTAACAAAATGCTTAATTGGTCATCCAAAGAATTGATCTATGCCAATCCCTGCCCCAGCTTGATCAAAGACAACAAGGAAGGGAGAAAAAGAATATGGTAGAGTACTGTTATTGTTGTACCAGAGAAAACGACAAAGAGAAGCAAAAATAAATATAGAGCACCAGCAGACGGTATTATTTTCGAAATTTGTTCATCGGAAACAACGAGTTGAAGCATATGCAACTGAATTTGGTAACAAAAACAAATTATAACCCTCAGCAACAGCTTCTGTTAATGAACTGGACAGAAGGAAAATAATACCCGGGATGAAGACGGTGGAATCAGCGGTGCCGCGTAAAGGTTATCTGGAGACGGCTGCGGCCACCGAGCAGAGAGGCAATGAGCGAGGAGAGAGGCGACGGAGCAGAAAGGCAACAGGGAACGGGAGTGATGCGCCGACAGACAGGGTTATTTTTTAAACGCTTAATTATACACTACATCCCTAATCTTTAAATCATATACACATAATCACTTTAACTTTTCAAACTTTACAATAAACTCACCTCAACTATTATATTTATATAAATAATTTTATATAATTAATTTTATATATTAATTATCTACACATAATTTAAAATTTAAAAAATTATTCATATATCAATCAAAACTTAAAAATTTAAATATATATAAAAATAAAATTTAAAGAGATATATAATTAAGAATTATAGGTTATTTACATAAAAGGAGGTTTATTATTAAGTTTTAACAATTAAAAAGTTATTTGTACATGATTTGAAGTTTAAGGAATTGTGCGTAATTTAATCATTTTTTAAAAAATAAAGTAAATTAATATAAAAAAATGATAATAAAATTATTTTAAATTATATAAATAATAATCTGGTTCCTCAAAATACTATAATTTTATAGATATATTTAGGAACTTTTATTTTGATAAATTTTGAAATGAAAAAATTATTTTATCTTTATTAAAAATAACAAACTTCAATTCCAACTTTTTACTTAAGAAATAACTTTTGTTCTGTAAATTATTAAAATTGAACAAGAAATCACAACTTATTAAGCGTAATCTTTATTATTAAAGAATAAGCCTCAATCACAACTTTTTTTTAAGGAGTAACAATTTTTATTTTGTGAATTATAAGTGTTGAATAAGAAATTATAACTGATTAAGTTTGATTTCTACTATTAAAAAATAAATTCTCAAAATAACAAGTCACAATCACAATTTTTATTTAAGGAATAACAATTTTCATTTAAAAAATTATAATAATTGAATAAAAAATTACAACTTATCTTTATAATAACTTTTTTAATTTAAAATTTATTGATACAAATGTCTCTAAAAACTTTTAAGAAATTATAATATTTCAAACAACAGATTATTATTTATATAATCTGAAAGATTTTATTGTCATTTTTTTAATAATATCTTAATTATTAATCTTTATTAAAATTAAAATAAAAGGATTATAGAGAAACCGACAATTAGCTCCCAAAAAACTAATCAACTTTATATAAACAAATCTCATGAAAAAGCAATTTTACTTGTCAATTTGTTTTGAAAAAAAAATATCAGTTAAGAACTACTAAAGAAAATTTATATTAATTAAAAATTTTTTATTGTCAAAATTTAAATAAATACTTATCAATTCAGATTAGTTTTTTATTAAGAAATATTTATTTAAATTTAATAATAACTTATTCTATATTAACAATAATCTATTCGGACTTTTTCATTTAAATTTTAACAATAATTAGATTTTAATTGATATAAATTTCTTTCAACAATCTTTTATCGCTATTTTCCCTTTTGTGTTCCTTTCATTGGTCCACTAACTTTGGCTTAAATTAAATTCTGAATAATCATTGGTTGATATAGGTTGTGGGTGGTGTATTCTTTAATTTTCATTGGTTGATTCAAAGCCTTAATTTGTTTTTCAATTTTCTTAATGATTTCAAAAGGTAAAACTTATATACTTAACACACTTAGATCAAATTAAATTATTATATATGAATCTTAATATATTAATTTAATTAATAATAAAAATTTATTGCAAAAAATAATCTATAAGATTTATGAATCTTGATTAAATTAAATACCCATAACTATATAAGTTTTTCTCGTTTTCAAATTCGAATTCAATCCTCCCGCATTTCTAGCTAGCATTAGCTTCCTCTGACTTCCTCTCCTCCGCCTCAATCGTTTCACATTTTTTATTCTTATTTCCTTCGTCTGTAGTCTCTCTGTTTCTGATATCCATTGTTTCCCTTCCTCTGAACTACTTTTCATTTCCTGCAGATAGTATTTCGTTTTTCTCTCTTTGGTGGGTGTCTTTGCCCCTTTTCACTTCTTTTTTGTCCTCATTTATTTGACTAATGGCGTTCGTGTTGTCATTTTGTCGTTCATAATTTTGTCTATCTCGCAGTCCTCTGTATTTCTCTTCTTTTGTCTAAATTAGTTCATGTAACTTGTTCTTATGTCTATAATGCTATAATTTCCCTAGATGGACCCCGAACGTTTCACACCTATCAGGGAACTTCCCATGGGTGAAGTACATGTTGATATTCGTGTTTGCCTTCTTTGTCTCTGTTGGGATGATGATCTTGGTTTCTTTCAAATTGCTAAGTCTTTAAATTGTATTGTTTGCGATAAATAGGTTGGTTTTATGTTTCTCCGGTCATTTTCATTATGTTTTCATTCTTAATTTCCTAGTATTTCACCTCTGATGTCTACTTCATTATCTTTTCACCAAATTTATTCATGTATTTTGTCAAAGGGAACTTGCGTCGTGCTTGTCATTAAGAAACTTCATCATATCCATTGACTGTGGCCCACTTTTGTGAAGGTTTGATGTACGACATCTGCCATTGTGAAGTTTTGTGGAAGATAAACCCTGTCTCAAGAAAATGTTTCATTATTGTTCATGGTTATACTCTGTTTCGGTTATACCCTGTAACGGTTCCTCTGCCTCCTCTGAAATTATCACCTTTGTTCAACTGGCAGATCCCAGGAGAAGAGAAAGACAACTTTTTTGTATGATGTTTTCGTGTTTAAGATTTTGTCCCTTTTTTGTATTTTTGTATTTTTAACATTTTCTCATTTTGTCTAATTTTTAGACGTGGCTTGGTATCATTGAAGGGGTTTGTCATCTTGACAATCATGTTGATAACAGTTTCAAACACTGGACTTTTTCTTTTCATATAAAGGATGCACGGCTTGTTTATTTTCCTGGTATCCAATAATTTAGATTGTTTTCTTTCTTATTGGTACTCCAGTATTAAATTTTCTTTCCCTTTTGTTTGCTTTATATTTTTTTCCTTTTTTGTAGGGGTAATCGTTTGAATTGTAAAATTGAAGATGGCCTTGCATGGCATTGCATTTTACAGCCTGATAAAAAAGACTTGGTTGCCACCATTGAGTTTGCCTTGATGGGTTTGAAGGGAGGTTAGGATGACTTCTATGTTCTTGACTTCGTTTGTTTCCTTTTCTTTGTTTAGATCTTCTGTTGAAAATTTATTTATTTTCTCGCAAGATATAAGGTGATCAAGAATTATTTCAACACAACCAAGGCATTGTTCAATGCTGATCCTGAAGTTGTTCAGTATTTCATCAATAGTGCAAAGGGATAGCGTGAGCTGGTTTGATACTGACTTGCCTTCCTCCTCAAGGATTGATCATTGGATTGTTTAGATCTTATTTTGCTTTTAGTCTCAATAGATTTCCTGTTACTTTCAGGATTAAGGAATAGCTTTTGTATCGTTGTACAAGACAACTTTATGTTGCTGTCATCTCCTTTTCATTTGGCTTCTGATTGGAAGAAGTTAAAATTAAATTCATGCGTTGCCATTCCCTGTTAATGCTTTCCCATTATCTATTAATATTTTACTTCGTTTGTATTGCCTTTTAATTTGTCATTTGAAAGTAAAACTCCTTATCATGAGAAACGCTGCTATAACAAGTATGTGAATACACTAATGTCATCACTCTAATTTCATGTTATCAGTATTAGTATATAGTAATATATGGTTTCAATTTTTTATAATCATATCAGCAGAATCCGAATAATATATAATCGAATTATTAATATATTTTAACTTTATTCTTGTATGTAATTTCAGATTATCATGTTTCATAGTTCAGATAGAATCATTTTTTGATTAAAAAATATCTTCATTTCAAATTTTAATTCAAGGAATTAAAACTTTGTCATATTAGAAAGAATTTCACTTCTGGGCGTTATTACTCTTCTTTTTGCTTCCTCATTTTTTGTTCCTTCTGGTATTTCCTCCTCATGATCGTCATAATCTGCATCTTCAACTAAAATTTTACTTCGTTTCCTTTAGATAGTTGTCATGATATAAAATAATGATGATGAGTAAATGGATGTTTAATTTATATATAATTATATATACTGACTTACACAAATTTTATTCCAACAACATTTCTTTTTCCCATTCTTTTTTGGTCAGGTTAATGGTTAAATTACTATTCATACATAATTTAAATTTAAATTTATTTGATTAAATTTAATAGTGAGTTTAAATTTATTTTATCTCTTTTAAAGTGCATATTGGGGAGTTACGTCATCTCTGTAATCAAAATTGGATCCTGGTAATTGAATTGGAAAACCCATTTCATTTAATTTACTTTGCAGCAATTTTAAAAATCTGGAAGTTGTAATTAAGTTAGGATAGTGTCATTGAAATTCCCATTTCATTTCTCAATCAATACTTATTCCAGTCTATCTTTGTCGATCAGTATCAACTACAGTACTCTCCAGTACAAAAGACGGTATTATAAGATCCAAAATATAACTACTCAAGTTGATCAAATGCCTATCTAGAATCTTTAACCTCAAACAAAATTTCAATAATAATAATTCTAGTGCCCGTTCAAATTTTATGTTTGCCCTATCATAACCTTTCTTTGGTACATTTGTAACTTATAAGGTTTGACAGTTGAGGCTTTATTTCACAAGTAAATCTACTTTCTATGCAAGAATATATCTTATGATTTTTCACTTGCTCCAATCTTTTCATTTCCCATCAAATAAAGACCTCAAAAGGTGAACACAAGTCCTCAATTCCAATTGTAAAGTTTGGAAAATACTCTGTTTCCACATGTCTAGAATAAGATATTTAGTTTTCGTAATCTGTATGGAAGGTTAAATCTCTCAATTAGATGCTTCGAAAATACTTTTAGCATAATGCCTTAAAACATAAAAGATATCATTTCTTCTCCTAAATCATTGGTTTTGTAAACAAAGTTTTAAGCAACCTCTAATTTGAAGAAATCATCAGTAGACATTAGTTTCATATTTAAATATAACGAGTTTCAAAAGATATATTTATTCACGTTTAAACATAATAAGTATCTATTCATCAATTTAAACTTCAGACATAACATTCTACAATTGTTTAAATACTCTTGAGTCTATCATTACTAAATGTCTTCACC